TTGTCACTAAAGTTGCCGGCTCCATAATTAAGGGCTTTTTCGGTGGTGCCCTGTTTCCTGGCTGTGGACGAACCAATGGTATCAATACGAGGTACCAGGGGGCCTTAGCCACTTGGGTAGGAAGTGTTGCCCAAGCCAGCCCCCTCTGCCTCGGTCACTCCGAACATTCATTTATCAGCGGTCGTAACCCTCACGAATTATTCCCATGCCCCTATCCCCTGATGTTGCTCTCATCTAGTGTCCAGTTCCAATCTGGTATCCTCGTGGGGAATCCTTCATTCCTCCCGCGCGATCGATCTTCCCCAGACACTAGACGGCCCACAGTGGCATACGCCTAATTAATTCTCATGATGCCATATGCTCGAGTGAATCTAGACCGGAGTACCATCCCTATCTAGGAAATGCTTCATTTACACATGTCCCCGCACTGGCTCATTTCCTGCTCTGGTCCGTAATGTACCCCTGTAGGATTACATAGCTTCTCACATGCTAGAAGTCGTCGACTGCTGGAATGCCGAGATACAAGAATTTTCCCTGAATGTAGATAAATACTAGCGATCGCTTCACTGTAATAGGGGGCGTCCACGTTCTGGAACCTGCAGCCCACCACCATGAAGCTGTATCTCCTGTTCTTCTTCTTCCTCACCCTCCACGCGCTGAGTGTGCCACGGTCCGCGGCGGACAAACCGCCGTTCTTTCTCCTGGCCGGCGACAGCACCACCGCGGTGCAAACGACGAACGGAGGGGGTTGGGGCAATGGATTCATCCAGACGACTTTGGCCAAGGGCGCCAAAGGCCAGAACTACGGCCGCAACGGAGCCACAACCGTCAGCTTCCGCACGCGAGGGGACTGGGACACCCTCATCAAGAAGCTTGAGGAGGTGAAAGCCAATTATCAGCCCTACGTGACCCTCCAATTCGGTCACAACGATCAGAAGCCGAAAGCCAACATCACCATCGCAGAGTACACGACCAACCTGGAGACTTTCGTCGGAGAGGTGCGGAATGCGGGGGGCGTGCCCATCCTAGTGACTCCACTTGCTCGGCGCCAGTATGATAATTCCACCGGGGTGCCCACAATTATCCGGAGTCTGGAAAATGAGCGGGTCGCGACGATTAAGGCCGCGAAGAAGACGGGAGCGTCGTATATTGACTTGAACCGAGCCAGCACGCTGTACCTGAATAGTATTGGGCCGGTCAGTGCGCACATGTATGATTTGAAAGCGGGTGACTCGACGCACTTGAACGCGGCTGGGAGTCAGGTCTTCGGGGGAATGGTCGCCGGCTTGATCATCCAGGATTTCCCCCAATTGGGTGACGCGGGGTTTGTCCATGTGGATCCGAAATTGCAGACGGCGCTGGACAAGGGCCAATACTATTGGCCACAATGAGCGTGATTTCTGTACTCTTAGAGACACATTCAGGGATGTGATTTGATAGATTGTAATGAGTAATTAGGGCTGTGGTGGATGTTGTTTGCTGCTAATTTTACCGTTTTGGGTAATTTAATCAACTACGTACCGACGTCAAGTTCGGTCCGACTTTCCGCTGCACCGCTGTGCTGTTCAAAATTATATAGCTTCGTAAGGGATCCTGTTCACTGCTGGATACGAATATTAGCTTTCGCATTGCTCGCCATGGAGTCCGTCCAAGTAGACTCTCCGGAGCCAGAACCGCAGACCCCAAGACTACTCCTGAAACTCATCAGTGCTGGTTTTGCGTTTTACGTGGCGGGCGTCAATGATGGGAGCTTGGGAGCGCTGATTCCGTATATTCGAGAAGCCTACGACATAGACACAAATATGGTGTCTATAGTGTTAGTTCACCCGCCATATCTTCAAGTATGACACTGATGTCAGAATGCAGGTATGGCACGACCTTTTGCGGTTGGCTTGTCGCCGCTCTCTCCAATAGTCATCTGAGCCAGTATCTGGACCTTGGCGTGTTTTTGGTCATGGGTGCAACGCTACAAGTCCTGGCCCATGCCCTGAGAGCCTGGTTACCTCCGTTGCCTCTGTTTGCGGTGACGTTTTTCATTGCGAGTCTTGGCCAGGCGTACCAGGACACGTACGCGAACACGTTCGTGGCATCCGTGAAAGCAGCGCATCGATGGCTCGGGTTTATCCATGCGATGTATATGGCGGGATGTCTCACCGGACCCTTCATCGCCACAGCAGTAGCGTCGGCAGGAGCACAGTCGCGCTGGGAACTGTTCTACACGGCGCCGTTAGGATTAGGCGTCATCAACTTTGTCCTTGTGATTATCGCGTTCCAGGAGTCCTTGACCTTTAAGCGTCCTACGCAGGGCGAGATGGGTTCTCAGGACGCAAGACAAAAGAGTCCCATGCAAGAGATAAAGAAGACTCTGACGCAGCCAGGCGTGTGGATTCTGAGTTTGTATTTCTTCTTTTTCCTCGGTGCCGTTATCACAGCTGGAGGTAAGTTATCGACCTTTTCATGGGAGTACAGGTACTTATAATGTAGGCTGGATTGTGGAATACCTGGTCCACGTGCGCGATGGCGACCTGAAGGACATGGGATATGTCCCTGCCGGCTTTTACGGTGGCGGTTTCTTAGGCCGACTGATATTGGCTGAGCCGACCTATCGCCTGGGGGAGCGACGCATGGTGTTCATTTATGTATTGCTCTGCGTGGGATTAGAATTGGTGTTCTGGCTGTGAGTTCGGATGGAGCTGTTGCGCGACGATGTACTAATGCGACTAGCGTTCCAAATATCATCGCCGAAGCAGTAGCGATTAGTCTTCTCGGGTTCTTCTCCGGTCCTTTCTTTGCAACAGTAAGTTATTCCTACGTGAGTTGAAAGTTAACTGATTAACGGCTCAGGGCATCTCGGTCGCATCGAAGATCTTCACGACGGACATTCGCTCATCGGCACTTGGTATGTCGCCTCGATTCACATATGCATAGAGGCTAAGCTAACAATCAGCGATAGCATTCATCTTCGTCCTCGGCCAGGTTGGAGGGGCCATCTTCCCAGCTGTTACTGGTGTCATGGCAGCGAAGGTCGGCGTATCAGTGCTGCAGCCTATGCTAGTCGGGCTGCTCGGCGCTACTGGTGTTTCCTGGCTGATGCTCCCCAAGTCTCGGTTGCATCACGATTGATGGACTAGAATTTGTCAATTGAAGCCCCTATATTAAGACCGGATATTTATAGCGAGCGAGTAAGCCTGGTATAAGTCATTAATAGCAGTGTAGAACATTGCTTACTAGATTGACAAAGCCTTCTGACTGGTCCACTAGCGTTGCACAACAACATAGCGATTGCATATCTCTACACAGATTTCACATCGTGAATGGAATAGTTACTGATCGATATATTCCAAGCCACTCAAGCTTACACGAGTGATCCAATGATCTTCACGGCCTATACCAGATGGGGTATAGGCTGACCAGGAATCAAAGTCTGCCTTAATTGCCCGGCCTCAAACTCAGCCACTTTGTATATCCCGTCAGATGACGTCGCCTTCGCTAAGATTTACGAAAGTAGTTGCTTTATATTGTTCAGAATTCCCAGTGCACCCTCTAGACTTCAACTACATGTAAACAAGAACACACCATGCCGCAAACTGCGAAGACCGGCAACGAGAACATCAACATCGACCTCGCCTCACCCCCCGGCTGGACATACATCGGTGGGGATACCGTCATCGGCAATGTAGTCCGCCGTTCACATATCGTCACCCCCGACGCAATGGTGACTCTCACACTGGTCGGACGCGTGAAAACAAAGATCACGGTGAAGAGGAACAACGGCCAAACGACCAGCACCAGCCATTACCGTGGTCGCTGGCAACTATTCCATACATCGCGCGAGACTCTCTTCCACGGACCCTTACATCTTCCCCAGGGCAGTGTGAACAACCCGCTTATATGGCCATTCTCAGTTGAGATCCCCACACGGCCATCATATCAGGTGCTGCAGGGCCACTGTCCAGAAGAGAGTTACCTGCCGTTGGATAAAGAGACCCTTGCCCGCAGCACATTGCCTGCAAGCTTTTTCTCCAGTGGTCGCGGCTGGCGTACCTCCTCCGAGGCCTTCGTGGAATACTACCTCGAGGCTCAGCTGATATATGGTCGCTCCGGGTCGTTCGAGACTGAAATAGCGACGTTTCCTATCACAATTCGACATGCCCCGCAAGCCGGCATCTTCAACTATGACCTCCAGTCGCGCGTGCTCGCCGGAAGGGCCAAGAGCCAACGGCTCCTGCCGGGGATGGAACATGCGGAGCTATCCCTGAAGCAAAAGACGCAGAAGCTCTTCGGTTCATCCAAGGTGCCGGAGTTCCACTATACGGTTGAGGTCAGTTGGCCTTACGCCATTCAGCTCGATCACCCAGCACCTGTCCCGATTATCATTGGCGTCAAGCCTTCCAGCGCAAGTCCCGAGATCAGGGACGTCGGACAGAAAGTTCAGTTAAACTGGGTCAACATGACCATTAAGTCTGAGACTATGGTGCGAGCACCAGGAAACCTCACCCCGACATATACTCACAACCACACTCATTCCTCCTCTCATCCCATTGGCTTGAAGCAGGCCTTTCTGAAGCTTGAGAACCCTATCGTCTTTACCACTGGAAAAGGGAACGAGCCGGTTGACATCGGCAGTATGTTTGGGCTTCTCTTTCATTCTAACGGTTCGACCGTTGGGGGTCTGCGGAACACTACCTACACGGGCCCGTCCCCTGACTTTGTCACGTATAACATTCTGCACAGGAATGGATTGGAACTGGCGGTCTCATTGACTGTCGCAGAGGAAACTAAGGAGTTCAAAATGAGCTCAGGACTAAAGATATTCGCTGCGGAGTGAAGTGGAGTGTTTTTGGAAGTACTGTAACATAGATATACCCGAATGCTGCTTATTAGTTAATTTACAGTAATATGCTGAGACTCATTCAGCTCTACCTTAGCAATGGCACCTCCTATATTTCTCTAACAGATCCCCTAATTTGCTTTCTTTTATCATCTTACCCCTTCTCCCTATTTCGGTGATCTCTATACACTACGAAGTCAACATACTCCCAGAAAAGTCCATACACAGTGATATAGACACAACAAATCAAATCATTCCTATACAAATAACATCAAGTAATAACAACCTCGACACGCTTCTCCCCATCTCACCTCCTTCCAACTCACCAACCCCCAAACCGAACGCTACGGCATAACCAACCTACAAAACCTGCACCCTCGGCCCCGTAACCCCAATATCCCACCTAATCTCAACCCGATCATTAACCCCCACAAACTCAAACCCAATCATCTGCCCAGCGGGACAATCAAACTCAGGATACCCCTGGTAAGCCAACACCCAGTCCGCAGTGCCGGGCTTGGGAACATGAATCCGACCGACATGCTCGTCCCTAGACTGGACGATGACCTCGGCCACCTGCTTCGACACAGACTGCAGCGAGCGCCCGAGTCCGACGCACTGGCACTGGCACCGGTGGGCTTCGTGGCGGTGAACACGTCGGCCAGCTGTGAGCCGGTGGAGACGTCGCGGTCCCAGAGATCGAACAGAAGCTTGCATTTGTGGCCGTCAGCAGTGGCGGGGATGTCGAAGGTGACGATGCTGGTCGTTTCGTCTGCTGCGTTGCCGTTCTTGACGACCAGGAGTTGGTCCTGCGGGTCCAGCACCCAGTTACCCGTTTGCACCCAGTAGCGGTAGGTTGCGTAGGGCCAGAGGAGGGAGTCCTGCCGGGGGGTCGGGGTTGCTGTGGTCAGGGTGGTGAGGAGGGTGAAGGTTAGGAGTAGGAGGTTCATTTTGATTGATGTAGTATGGATTGGACTGTGTGATTGACTATGTAGCTGAGTAGAATGTTGTTGATTGTTCTGGTTTCTGGATGTGCTGAACTGCACTGATCGAACCTCATATTTATACCCCCCCCTCAACCTCCACCCATACCAACACAACCATTCATCAAATGATGATATATCATGCCTACTGATGCGGCCTCGTACTCGGATCATGGACGCAAGCTTCCCATTGCTGCTGTTTCTCTCGTCGCCCCACTAACTTTCGCCAAGAGGGATCCTCGTATTTATCTCTCGCCGCAACGGTCGCCAGCGACGTGGTGACGTCCAGCGGATCCTATATCCGAGACAGCTAGATGGCGTTCCCTCCATTGCCGCGGTTTCCACATGGCAATGCAATGCCCGGATGTCAACTCATTGGCGCATGGTCTGGGTTCACAAGGACATACAGAACCCAGGCGTTGTCTGATTGGACATCCTCCGGGTATGGGGATCCGGGTCATGACATCCCCGATCCGTCATCCTGGCGAATCATAGCCGGAGATATATATAGATGGGTTGTGATGTTAGAATAAGGCCAACCGGTGGCTGGATGGGCGTTAATTGTGGGCTGGGCCGTTGTTCGCAATTGGAGGTGTTTCGGGTGCTGCGGTGTGGCGTTATCCGGGGGTGGCCCTATTCCCTACGGGGTTCTTGGGTATGATGTGTGCTCTTCGTGTCTGTTAGTTGTGGGATGCGATGGTCAAATCCTTCGAGGTCGTGATGTGGTATCCCGCGATGCTGTCTTGGCTTGGACAGGTCATTCTTGGGAGTCAGGTAGTCGAAGTACTGACTCCGTGGCAGGAGAGTGAGAGGTCATATGTCCCATGACGAGCTGTAGAGTCAAGAATTCGAGTCGGAAATAACTCTGGTGTAGGCCTGACATACCCGTAATAGCTCATGAGGCTTGGGATTATAGAGCTGTTACTCTGTGAGCTTTGTAACAAGCTATTAGTGTGTGTACACCGTGAATTTGGCATAGACATCAAACTTACCGGGCTTTATGTGATGTACTAACACTTCTCGTTGACCAATATATCTGGTCCTGATAGCCATGTTACAGTGCATGTATATTGTGCCAGTTTTATTTATCCATGTGTTTTGCATCTGAGTTAGTCTAGCCATGTCATGTCTCTCACCAACATCCTTCTCCTGGAACAGCTGGGTCAAGCTTAGATCTGCTATACGACAAAAAGACAGCCCCTTTCACCATGCTCCCACAATAAACCACAATTATAGATCTAGCTTTAAATACAAGCATATAAACAATGACTAACAAAGTGTTCATTGTCCTTTCACGCTGACAACAATAAATCCTTTGTCCATAAGCATGGAGCATGAATGTATGCTCTTGGATCATTCGTTCCAAAGACACAACGGCATCTATAGCACAAACAGATTCGCACAGGAGAACCTATCCAGAATACTGCTATACCATATATATTATCTACATATCCTGCGTCATACCTGGCTATAGGTCGAAAAGGTATGTCACAGCTCATCCGCCAGAACTACCACCCCAGAACAACCACAGCAGAAACCAATCCACGACAACAAAAAAAATCCAAAATGGGACACCACTGGTTTGTCAACTACCAACAACTATCGCACGGAGCAAGTCGAGCTAATACATAGCCATCAGCACAATATGTAGAAAGGTATTGGGCAAGTCTTGTCTTAAGAACGGCCATTATCAGAGATGTGGCACATGCGGGGAGTATTTCCCGCCTAGTCGTGAGAACGAATGTCCGTATTGTGAGAATAGGCAGAGTAAAATGAACAAGAGGATGGAGAGGGATGTAAGTGAGTGTTTGGATTTATTGATGAAGGTTACAAGAGCCAAGTTTGGGTTTTGAGCTGGGTAGTGTTTTGTATTAGTGTACATGTTGAGATGATACATAAACATATTTCCATTGGAATCAAGAGCGGAGAGCTGCGTATACATGTTGTGTATACTATGTTTTACCTTCCAGCACGTTCTGTACCTCATCCGCGATATTATAATTGAAGACAGCCTTCATCTCCTTGCTAAAGAATCGTGGAAACCAGCCTTAATCTGTCAGTAGTAGTTCCAACAAATTGCACGCAGGCTGGAGCTAAACTAGAAAGATATAATACTCACCAAGAATCCATAGAAAGCTGTACATTATATATTCCTCGATAACGCTCATATCACGCTTGATATTTTGTCTCCGCTTGGCATCTTCAAGAATAGCCTGGACACGAGGGATGCGGAGCTCCATATAGGGCTTAGCAGCGGTCGAGATCACTCCTTTTACATCAATATCAGGCCCATGGGTCTCATATTCCTTATGTAAATAGTGACTCAAAAACAGAACAAACGCCTCAACATCCTCAAGCGCCTGCGACGAGCCTTGTCCCGAAGTAGGAGGCAATGCATGAGCTGCATCACCGACTAGAACGACGCCATTCCGCTCCCAGGTCGGCAGAGGCGGCATCGTCCAGGTAGGATACATATTGCTGACCTCCAGTGACCCGAGGACCTTCCGAATCACTGGATCGTTCCAGCTCGAGTAGCGTTCTCGCAGTTGACGCGCGACATCCTCCTTGTCAATCGTTTTCGGGTTCGGACACTCATCGACTTGGTACGTTGACCACCAACCGAGACTCTCGCCCGGTTCGGAGACATGATATGGTGAGTCCCTGTGAGGTGCCGATCGGCAACTGTCGGTGTAGAAGTAGCCGAAGAAGCCATTGCCCCCGATGATGAAGTTCATTGAGCCTTTCTCGACGTCATCTTTAACTTTGTCGGCTGCAATGAACCCGCCGACTCCTGACAAGCCTCTGTTTATATCGAGTTAGCTAAGCTGTGTTTCTGCCCCGGTTCACCCAGCAGGAGGTACATACTCATAATGAGGGGGAAAGGGATCCTCCCCTGCCTCAGGGAACAGCGCCCGTTTAACAATCCCCTTCAACCCATCCGCACCGATAACCAAATCCGCCTCCACTGGCGAACTACCATTAGCAAAGCGGACTACATTCCGGCCCTCCGGGCTCGCAACAACTTCTGCGACCCGTTTCGTCACAATATCGCGATCCGGAATACGCATGCGGAGACACCGCCAGAACCAATGTCGGCTACACCCGACCGTATGAATCGGTAATTCAGTCGGCGAAGTTGGCTCATCTGATGCGTCCATACGTACGAGCAAACGTCCGTTTTTGTTTTTCATGTTGCCCGTCGGAACTACATATCCGCCACGGACGATGTCATGGAGAAGATCCTCGTCCAGACGTTTTAGAACGTTGAGGCCGTTGGGCCCAATACCTAAGCCACCGCCCACGATAAGTGTCGAGGAGTGGGTTGGGCCATCACGCTCGTCGCAAGTGGTGTCCTTGTTGGTGTCGTAGGCTTCGTAGATAGTGATTTCGTGGTCCTGATCTGGGGCGGGTGGTTTGGGGAGATGCTTTTTAAGTTGGAGGTATGCGGTACATCCGGAGATGCCGCCGCCGATTATTACTATTTTCATGATTGATTAAGGCGTACCAGTGTAAGATGCAATATGATCGTCGATGGTGGTTTAGGTGTTTAAGAAAGGTCGGATAGTTGTTGCCTGGAGTGGCGTCGTGATATACGATTTTGGTCACATGGTAAGGTTTCCATGGATTGGCAGGCCGCAGATCGTCAGCAAGTAGCCTTCGGTATAGCGAGGAAAAGTAAATAGATAAATATCATTTCTCAGTATCTATAGATTACCTGACTCCCATGATATTGGGGAGCTGCAAATTTCAAAGCTATTTGTCCCATTGTTCAACTTTCGTTTGTCTTTGCGGGAACTAGCTGTCGCGTGTGTTATGAGACAAGCTATTTGTTATATAATTAATATGTCGATTTCACTACTTGAACGAAAGCAGGGGATATTGAGTGATGCCGGGCTCCAGAGGAAACGGTTCTCGATGATGTTAGCAATCAACATGGATGAAAGGCCTGTCAATAAGTACCACTCCTCCATATGCATGAGGAAATTGTAGGGCTCGACCTTATCTTTGATCTCATTATACGCTGCCAGGTCCTCCATCTTAGCCGCGACAGACTTTTCGACCTCTGTATCCCCATGGTCCTCCATATGTAAATTCTGTCACTGCATGCCCTTGTGATTTCGCAGATGCATACAAGGAAAGGTCAGATCCGCAAAAAACCCACGGGAAGAGAGTATATGGAGCCACATAGCGCTTGTGTCTCTGGACCATTTGACCAACTCAGTGAGTTCTCTCCGCCTACTTTCTGTCATCCTTATCTC